AAGATCCGCGAGTCCAGACAGCTGCGGTCTGAGTGTTCACACATCAACGGTACCCCGACGCCAAGGCAACTATCAAATTCGTTCCGAAGAACTCGCACATGAACGACCCGCCGGCGGGGTTCAAGGTCCTGGGGCCCCCAAATCCTTCTTTCGGCTGTCATTGTCAATCTGTCAGGGTCGTGGAGGCTTGCGAGGATGCGCAAGGTTACTAGGACTGCCTAAGCTTAGGGACCCATGGCGGCCTTCTCCGGCTTCCCATGTTACGGCATCCTGTTAAACGAGGTTTTTGGCGCATGTTCTCAATCAGGAAATTGTGTTGATGGAAGAAAACCGAGCATATCGGTTCAGAACTGCACACTTTCGTCGCCTAGTCAAGGTTCGTCATAGGGGGCGCAGAGTCAGCTCTGAGCGAGAATTGCTGCTCCTGGAAGCCGATATATGGGAGGGTGGGCAGACCTTTCTCTAGTCAAACTTCAGGACTTGCCGGAACGCCGCCGGGATGCGCGGAGAATTTCTCGTCCACAGGTCAACCTCTCCTCTGACAAGTTTGACACTTAGTTTTGCCCACCGATGCCTCTGTGGCTCTTGGCAAATTTGGCTTTGATTATACTTTTCATAAATCGGACGATCCTGCTAGAATCTCACCAACAAGGCGTCCAAACACAAGATCTGAGGAAATATGCCAGTTCGTTGAGAAGTCAATTTGCGGCAATGGGGCTAGCGAAATGTTATCTCTTTCGAATTAAACAGCATTCGCCTGCTTAATACCATGAAAATATACGACCGCTCTCGCCATTACCCTGCTTACATTCGAGGAGCGTTACTCGTCAGGTAGCAAGGCTTTCAAAAACGTCCTGCCACTTAGGCCAGGCCGTTTGGACGTTGGGCAAAATTCACAGCGGGCGTTCACCTTCCCGGCCCTTCGGCTAAGCGGCTGTCTGGATATCTAAATGCCAGGGCGATCCCATTGACTTTCCGGATAAGCGAGCCTTGACGTCGCTCCGAAAGCGACTTTTTGAAAACTCCTGCCATTTCTGAAGCGTTGAGAACTGCTGTCACGATATGACTTGAGCAAGAGTAGCCTCTGTCATTCAGTCACTCCATCAGACAACCTGAGAAGACGACACATTATATCTGGTGAATGATTCAAGTCCCCACTCGGTGAATTTCCCCTGTCCCCGAAAAGCCCGAGCTGGACGCCTTGATGCAAATGCCCATTTCTGATCTGACAGACCAATCACATTTGGTTATTGTACCGCCTCGGAGATAGCCGGTCACAAGCCGGGCGTGTACTTGCTTGAAAGTCACCTGGGCGTAGAAGATCAGGAGATACGTCAGCACCGGCTGAGCTCTCCTTCGCCCAAAACCCCGACGTGACCAAATTTCAAGATGCTGAGGGTAAGAGTCGGGTGAATCCGGATACCTGAACGATAAAGCAAGCCTGACTTACCAGAGTGAGGACCCGGCAGTGTATTGTCCCAGATGCTGCTCAGGGTGTTTAGAGGAGTGGAATGCCATCACCCACGATGGCGCAAGCCGCTAATTGTTTGCAGATCTTGTCCTGTCCGCAAAGGGTTCCAACTTCTACCTCCTGACCATCAACTGGCATTTTCTCTCCTTTTCGCAATCGTTTACTAAGGTATGCGTAGGGGGAAATAACCGCATCACGACTTTAAGGTGCTGGCCAGTGCATCGGATCCTCCAGCCGGGTTAGGCCCCACAACACCCGAACGTTATGCCGGTCAGCCTCCCGCTCCCTTCGGCATAATATTTCGGCCGACTCACCTGCTATCGCACGTACGAACCAACGAAACTTGCGCTAACAACACCACACCCGTTCCTAAGCCGGTGCTTAATCCGGTCGTACAGACCCAGCCGGACTACTCTCATGCCTTGCACTTTTGCGGACTTGGCTCCTCGGCGGCGGAGAGATGATGACTTGCTCGGACTTTGCGTGGATGGTGAATCAGTACAGACGTAATGATAGGCCGGCCGGCTCGCACTCGGTCGTCCATGATGCCATTCACGGCGCCCTACCAACGTGGCCTCGACGGTGGTTGAGCCGCACCGGCGTAAGGCTTCCCAACGGAGCGGGCCTGTTGGGCGAAATTTCAATTATGACCAATCTAGACTTGGCTTGGGCACATTGAATGTCATATAAGGCTATGGAAAAGGCCCTTGACTGATTCACAATATCGGTTCAAGAGAACTCATCTTGTTATCGCAGTCCAATAAGAAAACATACCGCTGGCTAGAGACAAGTCAGATCCGGTGGTGACCCCTTTTTACCTCGGATGTCGAACACAATCACATTTCTACCAATGTCTGCAACACAAACAGAAACACCAGCAGTGGTGCTGGAAAAACAAACCACCCAAATCGACCAAAATGGCAAGGTCGTCTTCAAACCCTCACGGGAGTTCCTCCTCGCCTTCAGCGCCCTCTGCGCCATCGCCTTAGCCGTCGCCTTTGACGCAACAACCCTCTCCGTCGCCCTCCCGACAATGAGCGTCGCCCTCGGCGGAACCGCCCTCGAGGCCTTTTGGTCCGGCACGAGCTTCCTCCTCGCGAGCACGGTGCTACAGCCCACCGTTGCCGGGCTCAGTAACATCTTCGGGCGCAAGGCCCTCGTGTACGTCTCAGCCCTGCTCTTCGCCGTGGGCTCCATCGTCGGCGCTCTCGCCAATGACTTCCACGTCGTCATCGCGGGGCGGACCATTCAGGGCGTGGGCGGCGGGGGGATCCTCGCCCTCACGGAGGTTATCATCACGGATCTCGTCCCGCTCGCGGTGCGGGGCCAATGGTTTTCGCTCCTGTCGGCCGTTTGGTCTGTCGGTACGGTCACGGGGCCCCTGATCGGCGCCGGATTCGCGCAGAATATCTCATGGAGATGGATATTTTGGATCAATCTTCCCATCATCGCCATCGGCGCGGTTATGATCTTCTTCTTCCTCAAGCAGGCCAAGGTGCCCGGCCACATTGGGACCAAGCTCAAGAAGTTTGACTGGCTCGGGAGCTTCTTGTTCACGGCGGGCTCGACGAGTTTCCTGTTTGGCATCTCGACGGGCGGTGTCATGTATGAGTGGGCCTCCTTCAGGTGTCTGCTGCCGATGATTCTGGGCGTTTTCATTCTTGTGGCCTTTGGGTTCTGGGAGCTGAAGTTTGCGCCGGTGCCCATGATCGACAAGGGCATCTTCAACAACTGGACCATGGTCGCCAACTACATCATGACCGTTTTCCATGGCATGATTCTCTGGTCGATTCTCTACTTCCTTGGTAAGCAACCCCCCTTCCCCTATCTCTACCCCTTTTTATAGGATGTCCCCAAGCTTACTCCTCTTTCACAGTCCTCTACTACCAAGCCGTCAAGGACTACTCCGTCGTCGTCTCCGCCGTCGCCGCCCTCCCAGAAAGTCTCACAGTCGCGCCCTCCGCCATGGCCGTCGGCCTCATCGCCGGCGTCACGGGCCGGTACCGCTGGTCCCTCTGGGCCGGCTGGGTCATGATCACCTTTGGCGCCGGCCTCATGTGCCTCATGCGCCCCGACACCTCCGTCCCCGCCTGGATCTGGCTCAACATTCCCATCGGCCTCGGCACGGGCATGCTCTTCCCGGCCATGGCGCTCTCGATCCAGGCCGCCTGCGAGCCCGCCCTCAACGGGCAAGCCGCCGCCTTTTATTCCTTCTTGCGCACGTTTGGACAATCCGTCGGCGTCGCCGTCTCGGGCGTTATTTTCCAGAATGCGTTTCGCAACAGGCTGCTTGATATCCCCTCGCTGGCGGACGTTGCGGAGGAGTACTCGCGCGACGCGACGATTGTGGTCGAGGTGATTAAGAGGATGCCAAAGGGCGATGCGATGAGAGCGGACTTGGTGGAGGCGTATTGCGATGCGCTGCGGGCGATTTGGATTAGCTTGATTGCGTTTGGCGGCTTCTGCATGCTCATCAGCGTTACGGTCAAGAAGTACAGCTTGGAACAGGAGCACGTCACAGACCAGAGATTGGTTACGAGCGACGATACGAGTAAGGAGGACGAGGAGAGCCAGGGAGGGGATCTGGAAAGGGGGCAGAAGGTGAGATCCTAAATGAGTTGATTCTCGAGCTGCAAGAGGTGCGAGATATTCCCTAGACGGGTTCTATCAGTTTCGAGCTGGACATCGCCTCTCCTTTCACTTCCATATCCGTCGCGAGGATTAAACATTAAACGTCATAAGGGGCTGGATCTTGGATATCGGCATTCCAGGGATTGGTTATGGCTTTGGTGTCTCTAGATAGGACATATTTCAGATTTCTTATAGTCCCCTTACTTAATAACTAATGATAGAGTTAGCAGAAGCATTCTGCCTCAAATTCGTCCCAAGATACTACCTTCCAAGTCTTTGAGCGCTGCCTTGAACACAATGGGCCCGCGTCCCTCGATGGTGAGAAGCCTCTCAGGCGCAAAAGGAGGGCCTATATTCAATCTTGCGCCTTATTCCTCCTTCCACCATTTGTACCTCTCAAATTTCTTCTCTTTTTAGTCTGGCCTTTGACCGCTCTCTTTTTCACCTTCAAAAAAGGCGAGTGGTGATCCAAGCCCCAACCTAAAGGTGAACCAGTTGCTTCGAGGGTAAATCGACAAAGTGTGATTCACTGCCGCCATTCTTTCACCTTATTCTTGGTCAGCCAGTCTTTTCCGAATCCAAGGTCAGTCGTTTCCAGGTGTTGAAAGAAGTATTATTTCCAAAAAGGGAAGTAGCTCACAACTACTAGGTTTTGCCAGCATTCACCTCGGCCTTTGCTCACGATACCTTCACCTTGTTTACCTTGTCCACTTTGTTCACTTCAGCAAAAAACGAAACACTTTGCCTCGCCACGAAACGTTCTGTAAAAAACGATACAGGATCAGCATACGAAACCAGGCAGTCAAAGTCAAGGGCAAAAAAGTTGTTTTGATTCACCAAATAGTACCCCCCGCCCTTTGACAAAATTACTGCAGTATACGAATACCAATAGCCCAAGATGTGTCGCCGCGTCTACAAATACTACACAGCCTGCGGCTGTGTCCTCAACGCCCTGTTCTACCACAAGTGCGCCCAAGGCTCGGCCTCACCCCTCTGCAAGGAGGAAGACGGAATCGTCACCCGCGACGGCGAGAAGTGCCCCTACCACGCCCGCGTCGCCCGCCGCCAAGCCCGCAGTCGCAGCCGAACCAACGGAGGAGGAGGAGGAGGAGGACCTCAAGACTCGGAGAAGAAAATCCGCACGTCCATCGAAAATCCCTTGATCTTCACCGGCGCAGGCAAGGAGATCGCCCCCGCGAGGCTCGAGGACCGGCACAAGCTGGGAGACTTTCAAGTCTTCATCAAGGACATCGACACATTCCTGAAGAAGCTTGCGGAGCATGAAAATGGTACTCATACCAAGACTCATACCAAGACTCAGACCGAGACCCAGACTGAGTCCCAGTCTCAGCTTGCGCAAAAGTCGAAGAAGCAAGAGGGAAAGAACAGCCAGCAGCTCAAGGACAGAAAAGTGAGCCGCGAGCTCTCCCCCCTCGCCGGCTGCTCAGACTGGACCGACGACGACGAGAACGACAACGCCATCGCCCGGCGCAAGAGACGCAACCGCCTTAAGAAGGAGTTCCGCGCCCTTGTCCGCGAAAACGAGAAGAACAAGAAGCTCTTTGACGCGAGCGACGTCTTCATGAGCTCCGACGGTGGCGATGACGACGACGTCTCCGACAGCAGCAGCGAGTCGGGCCCCGGCGATGCGTATCCTTCGCCGATGAGCATGAGCCCGCACCCTGGCAATTATGGCGACGTCTCCGAGGGCGACGAGTCGTCGGATGCGGGTCATGTTCATCCTTCGTCATCGAGCCTGAGCACCGACCATGGACATGTCAGCGACGTCTCCGAGAGCAGCAACGATCCAACCCATGGTAACATGCAGTCCTCGATTTCAGGCCCGGTTCATCGTAGTGAACCCCTTTCGGCGTTTCTCTCGTGGGACATGCCTCCCGAGAACTCTGATAACATGGAGGAGGATGGAGAGACTGAGCTTGAGGAGGCTGAAGATGAGCCTGACTACGACAGTCACGACTCGGATATGCCCGACGCCGATAAGGACGATGGAGACTACGTTTCGGAGCCTACCTGGCCTCCCACTGGTGTTGAGTGGACCTCCAAGCTCAAGTACATGACTGGAATCCCCCGTCGCAACTATCAATGATTGGAACGGAAAGGTATCTGATCCAAAGGGCTTTTATTGACGGAAGGAACTGAATTTGCTTGGAGGGAGTGATGATGAAGTGATGGCATTGGGAAGGCAGTGGAAATAACGCCAGAATGGCATAGGCGTCTTGTATGTGTACCTAAGCTGTCACCTATGTTGATCAACCAGAAAAATGTTACAAATCGCGAGCCGATGTAGTGATATCATGTCTCATTGCCCTGTGTGCACTCTTTCGGTAGAGGAGCCAGGTGTACGTACATACGTGGAAGTGGAAATGCCGTTATGCCAACTGAATTACCCATCCGAAATTCAAAACTTATCAAATCGCTCAAAACAACCCGCTAAACCCGTGCGCCTCATGATGGAATTAGTTCCGCATCGGCGGAGCTGGGTATTGTCGCCCCCCAACGCCAGAGATGACCGGGCTTCCCCCGCGCTCTCTCCATCGCTTTCTATCTCTATCATCTCTCAGTTCCCGATCGCGGGGATCCCGAGGATCCCATGGAGGCTCAGGCCTTCCTCGCATGCGGTCCACATCCGCATGGCTACTCGTTCGGCGTGTCGCTTCAGGCCGCACGACCGGCCGTTCCCTTCGCTTACGAGCCTCCATATCTTCTTCTCTCTCCCAGTTCACGACGCGGTCACGGTCACGCTCGCGTTCTGGGTCTCTGTCACGGTCTCTTTCTCTTTCTCTTTCGCGTCTACGGTCTCGCTCTCGACCGCGATCTCTCTCTCTAGCTCTCTCCCTTTCCCGTTGCTCTCTTTCTTCCAGTTCCCTACGTTCTCGGGCTTTGAATCGGCGGCGGCGCTCTTCTTCCGAGTCTGAAGCTTCCGAGTCCTCCGATGCAATATCGGGCCAACTGCGGTTGAGCCTAGATGAAGGCAAGTGCTCTCGGCTTCGGCGAGATGGTGGATCGCTTCGACGACCGGAGGTGCTTCGATGTCTTTCTGGTGATCGTCCAGTGGGAAGAATGGACGCCACTTTCTCGCTGATTTTTTCCCTGATGCCATCTACGACTGGAATACTACGACGCCTTGCATCCTCTGGTCTTAATTCCGCACGATGTACACGAGTGACAGGTGGCGGCTGGGGTATCGAGGGAGCGCCCATACGACGGAAACCGGGTGGTGGCGGCTCGTTTGAATGATGTGTATGAGGGCGACGTTTAGATCGCGGACTCGCCGCGTCCTCGGAATCAGACGTTGAGGACGAAGAATAGTGTCGAGGCTGGCTGTGTCGGCGGGGTTGCATGGGCGGTCGATTGGGATGCAAGTGCTCAGGGTTGGCGTGCGGATCCTGTGGAGGAGACGGGTAGTCGGAAAAGCTGCGGCGTCGACGGTCGTCAGGAGAGTTCTGTCCTCGGAATCGATCTTGGTCTGGGGTCCTCTGGGGAATATTGAGGCGAGATGGGGGGTACCGATTCGCGGCGTGACCCCCAGGAACATGGCTGTAAGCAACTGGTGGTCGGCTTGGCGGAACGAAGTAGTCTGCCTGAGGACCACGAGGCGGAGGTGAGGGCTTCGGTGATCCCTTGGGCGGGTAGGGATTTCGGACGTGCACGTATGCTGCCTTCACTCTCGGCTCGTCTCTTTCTGCTGGGCGAGCAGGGGCAGTCTTTGGTGATGCCGGCTCCTCGTCTGGCACTGCTGCCTTCCTCAGTTTTTCAGCGCATTTCTTGTGCCATTTCTCGATTCCGGCGTCTGGCTCGCTGGGCAGTGCATCTGCGGGTAGATCTGGGGGGAAGGGTTCGCCCGTCTCGGGATGCTTCAGGTTCCAGCTCTTGACGGCCTGCTGGATGAAAGGTACGTGTTCCTCGGGGCTCAGCAGTATCTCGATCGACTCCCATCGAACGAAGCCACGAAGGGTCAAGGCTGGGACGGAAGGGGCGTCGAAGTCGTTGTCGGAGGGCTGCATGGAGTGCTGGCAGCCGGTGACCTGCCAAATGTAGGATATGGCGGGAAATGGCATATCGACAAATAGGGCTATGGCGACGAGCCGTCAGCATGGAGTGCCTTGCACAGGTTGAGCATTCAGGCTTACAGTCATAGTTACCACCAACGGCCTTATAGAAGGCTGCCAGCTTTTGGGGGGTCAAGGCTTGAACATGTCTATCGCCAATATCGCGAATCTATAGAAAGGCGGGGTTCAGTTAGTATTTGGCCATGGGTGGGTGGAAGCGAGGTGGAGGAAGCCAGGGTTTGTCGCAGACGTACAATATGTTGGGCGATAGCGCGAAGGAGAGCATCGAGAATCGGTGTTGGAGCCTTGTCTGGGCCGAAGAGATAACCATAAGGGGAGGATGGCTTTGGATCGGGGTTCTGAGCCTGTGTCTGGGCCTGCGGTTGAGGTTGCGGCTGAGGTTGAGGATGAGGATGAGCAGAGGACTCTTTGGAGTCGGCCTCTGCGGTCGCCGTCGCCATTCGGGGCCGAAGTCTACATCAACGGTGCGTTTTTGTGGGCAGGAATGTCCGGGACAAAAGTGTGGAGATTGGACGGGATGGAGAAATATAACGGTTTTGGTGGCGTGTGCTGCTGACAAGCAAAGGGCTTTGGCTTCGCAGGCAGTGACTGGAGCGAGCTGGCGTTTGGATTATGAACGACTTGGAGCGCAAGTTATCGTCCAGTTCGGTTGATATTGAAAGGCTCGAGAAGAGTTCAGGCTGCTAGCGTAAGACTGCGAGCGCGGGCAAGGTTGAGTTGAGGGTTCAACGGCTACTAATAACTCAAGGTACTTTGGGTGCGGGCCGCCGCCACAGCATCGTCATACGAGAGAGTGTGAAAGAGAGAGATGCGAGGCAGAAGTAGGCTGAAGCCAAGCCGTGAGTCAAAGCCGGATGGATACGTGCGGATGCAAGTCGAGGCTGGTAGGCGCAGGATGAGGACTCGGTCAATATGCGCGCCAGAGGAGCGAGAGGGTGCGCGCGAGTGCAGCCGGTGGCAGGAGAGAAATATCCGGGTCGAGGACTAGTGGGTGTGAAGCGTGGATGAAGGGGATGAATGTGTGTAAGAAACACAATCCAAGGTCGAGCGAGAGTCGAAAGCGACGACGGGAGAGTGCGGTGCAGCTGGTTGATGGAGGATCGGGCGGGCAGTGAGCTGATGATGTAACTAAAGTACTCGGACTGCAACATGAGGTGGGCAGGGTACTTGGGCCTTGTTGTTGCTGGGAGGGGGGGGGGGGGGTTGGAGGGGTCAAAGACGCACGCACGATGGGACGGATGGGCATTTTTTGGGGGGTTCAAGGTCGCCGCCGCTCTGGGGCTCTAGGTACATTGTTTTTGTGGTGAGATGGACGGACGGGGGACCAGGGGGAAGGAAGGAAGGGACTCGAGGGAGGAAGTACATACCTTACCAACTTACCTTGCCTACCCTTGGACATGGACTTTCCATCCCGTCAGGCAGAACCGAGCTGCGGGAAGCAATGGATCCGCCTGGTTGTTCTTACCTTACGTAGCCGGGCTCTTTCACAGCTTCCGCTCAATAACTAAGTCTGCGCCGTACTGCGGTACATGCAGCAGCGCTGCGCAAGACCGGGAAGGATAAGGCAGGCAAGGCAGTGGCAGGTAAGAATAGCGATCAAACAGGGAAAACGTTTGGCTGTTGGGCTGACACGTGCACCCTGGCGCAGCTTCCCTTGCGGGGACAAATTTGGGCCGGACCGTCGGCTGCCTTTCGAAAAGTACATGTCTTACCTACATGGTTGAGCTGTGTCTGCAAGTACCTTTCCCCTCCCACCTGGGTTCCGCGCATCTCTAACCGTCGGGTACGTACCGCCTTAGGGTGCCTTCTTCCTGTAACTTCCATTTCTCACGATGTACCTTTTTTCCCCATGACAATCTCACCTCTTCACGACCGCTAGTTGGGAACATCACCGCTCCACCCCCTCTGACTTGCATAGGCACACATTCCTGACCAGCTACCTTACCTCTCACACACACACACATTCTCTCTTACCAGTCACCACCACCATCCCACGGCATCTCGATGCATCCATACTCTGTCGTCGTTTTGGGTTCAACTCCCGAGGTTACGCCTAATATCTCGACCATCACGTCCCCGACTCCCCACCAGCTGATCAACATGATTTGGCATCCATACTCCTGACTTTACCTTCCAGGCTCCAGAAGATAAGGCAAAGTGAGGCTGGGCAGCAAAACGGACCCAACTATCCAGATGATCCAGATGACCAAAGAGGCCCGTCGAAAGCGATGGATGCCGATGCCCAGTTCCCTCGGCCCCCAGGATGCAGCCTGAAAGTCTGCCCAGGTGAGCCGTCTGCTGGACATGCCCAGCTGCGATGTGCCTTGTTGCGGAGGCTGGTGCCCACTCAGCCGCCAGCCGGCCCTAGCCACGCAACCCTCTATTCCAGAGGCAACCCGACAGGCTGTCCCGTCTGTTCTTGAACTCTTCATACGGAAATCAAGAGAGTTAAAGGCCAAAGGGAACCAGCAGACGCTGAAGAGGAACTGCCCAGCCACACGCCATTAAGCTGGTCGAATTCTGCTCCATCTCATCTCTTTCCCCGGCCCTCCACCACACGACTTCTGAGAAGCTACTTTTCCTAGACTCTAGACTCACTAACCTCCAAGACAGCGTCACCATGTCCACCTACGCCGCGACCAATTTGCTTCCCCGACAGGCTGGAATCCGGCGAGCGCATTTGCAAAACACCAGAGATGCGGTTCGACAATCCACCCAATCTTTTCGTTACCCTCGCCCTATCTTCCAGACTTCCAGAAACGCTGCTAGCAACCGGAAAGTGATCCGCGGCCGTGCATTGTACATCCTTACGAATACATGGCATAGTGTCTTTACCCTGGCTTACCGTGGTGACTCTGCGTGTCCATCTAATTCTAATTGTTGCAGCAGCCATGTATGATGCAGTTGCAGCCAAGGTTTTGGGACAGTGATCTGGCGGTGAGCACAAGGCGAAAGATTACGAACAAGGCTTGCAGGGACCGGCTGTTGTACATTGCGTCGACCAAGTGCCATTTCTACCACTTCCTGACACTGCAGCAACCAACGGGAATGGGATGACCACCTGTTGTTGCACTGGCTGCCTACCATCTGCCTGGTCGGCACACCTCGAGCACTATCTTTATCTTACATGAATCTGTCGCCGTTCCGTCGCCTCGGTTCCCTGTCTATACAGAAACGATTGATATGTCTTGGATAGAATCAAACCCTTTCACGCTCATTGGAAAGCAGTATACCACAGACCGATAGCGGCGCCCGCAAGGGAAATGATGCTTCTTACGGCGTTGAGTGCCTGCCACCTCTTCAACAAATCTGTGGTCTCGGACAGACCCAGCGTTGCGATGCCCCGTGCACCGGCCATGAGCGCATTGTTCGTTGACGACATGAAGATAATGGTATAGGGCACGATGGCGAGACTCAAAGCTCCAGCGGCAACAAACGGCTTCCACGCAACACCCTGGTCGTAGCGATCGTATGCAGAGTAGGCCAGCGAGAGCGTAACGGCGAGCGCTACTTTTGGGCCGGTCGACGCGCCGTTCAAAAATATGTGTTGCCACAGCTTCAGTGCATGACCTGGCTCGGCGCTGGTTTGGAGAATGGCGGGGATGCTGAACATGGATAATGATGCCGCCACGCCTAGACTAAAAGTCAGCAATTGACGTCGTTCACGCTGATGATGGCACAAAGAGAAAGAGTGGGAGCCCGCGGGTGAAGGGGGAAGAGAAGTTGCTAACCTGCCCACCATGCGCACCCGAGGACGCCAGTAGCAGTGGCAATGGTGTTGGCCATTCCGAGTTGCGACATGGTGGTTTCGGTGGTCTTTTCTTGGGTAGTAGTTGTTGGTGTGGTAGGGATGACGACAGTGACTGTGTTGCGACGGCAATACTTGAGATCGGGTCGGCACGAATGAGGCAATGTGTGATTTCGTCTGTAGCGTCTCTCTATATGATTCTATTGTATGATGAGATGCATTTAACTTTTTGGCGTCATCTGTACCAATATATACCGGAGAAGGAGTCCGGGAAACATCGGCGGTGCTAGCCCCGATGAGATCGGAGGAATCACGGACGACACAAATTGTCCGAAGCTGTGTGATCCACCCCGAGTCTCGCGTGTCCGATGCCGTCCTCGTTGCGACCTCCGCGCCGTACTGGCTGGCCCCATCATTACGGCGCTCTCAATTCCATTCGAGAGCTAGAAAACCCGGGCATGCCCCATGTTGAGGTGGTGCCGAGCCTCCCAAAAAAAAAAATCTTGGCCAACTTAAATAAGGTAGACCAACAAGGTTTTGCGGCAACGCACCCATCTGGAGCTGAACGCCGCAAAGAGCCCAGGGATGGGTGGGCGGTTTAATCGAACGACGCATGGTCAGTGGTGAATTTCCTTGCTCTCCCACATTTTCCTCTTTCATCTTCAGTGTTCCGTTCCGATTATCGTATTGCGGTTGGGGTTTTTCCTATTTCGGCGCCTCGATGCCATAGCCGACAAGCGTCGTCGTCTCCTGCGTCTTTTCATCGCGTTCCGTCCAGACCTTGAGCTTTTGGAAGCCCGTCTTGTCCAAGACTTTCTGGCTGGGCAAGTTGTCCAGCTCCGTCACGGCGGTGAGAATCTCCCCCACCGCCACCACGGCCGCCCCGTTCACCTCGGACTCGGACTCGGATCCGGGCTGCTCCTGGGACGGCCGGGTCTCCTCCCCGACGACGCTCCTCTCAACCCGGAGCGCAGGCGCAGCGGAGCGGGGCAGGGACCACCACGCGCCGACGAAGCCCCGCAGGAACTCGGTGGCGTACCCTTTGCCCCAGGCCTCTTTGCAGAAGAGGTATCCGATCTCGGGCCAGCCCAGCTCGCCGCCGGGCAGGCCGGGACTGCCGGGGCCGACACGCTTGACGCCGCCGAGGCCGACGAATTCACCCGTCGAGCGGAGGCAGATGGTGAAGTTGTAGTTGTGCGCGTCGTTGGGCGGGAGGTTGTGGTCCAGCCAGGCCTGCGTCTCGTCGAGGTCCGCGTCGGGGCGGCCGGCGACGGCCCACCTCATGACCTCAGGCTGAGAGCGCATAGCGTGCAGGGCGGGCAGGTCATCTTGGCTGACGGGCTTGAGGATGAGACGCTCGGTGAGGACGGGCTTGCGCGTGGCGAGAAGGGGGAGGGGAAGGGTTGGGAGGGTGGTATTCACCGTGATGAAGTCTAGGTGTTCATTATCCATTTCGGGCATGTTTTCTTTTTGTTTCCCTTGTTTCCTTTCGTTGAATGTTTCTTCAATCTTTGGTACCGGGCTTAACAAAGAGCCAAGTTTGTATGTGTTTTGTTATCTCTTTGCATGATTTCATTTTCTATTTCTTCGTCTGTAACATTTTCACGGAAAATTTCTGGGTTTGAGTCATCTCAACGGGCCCTCAGTTGGGTGACTGTTTATCCTAAGAGTGAGGGACCCCCAGAGTATAGTAAGCAAGCGCGCTATTACTCTTTCAGCATTGCCGTTTTGGCGTACGAATATCTCTGATCGAAAGTACGACTAAATACGACGAGGCCTGGCCGGGGGACGGATAGTTCCGCAAATTTATCAGGCTCGCACTCGGCGGTCTTCCGAGCGCCGCGCCGCGCCGATTTTGACGGTCCAGGTCTTTGTTCGTCTCCTGAATAGACTTGGCGCTCCCATCGGGCAGAATGCAAGAAACCCAAACTGTAATCACGATCCGCGATATCCAGGTGGTCTGTCAAATTCTCTCCTAATCGCGGCAAGATACCGGGCGGGAAACTTTATCTTAACCAAAGGTAGCCAGACCTCCATCTCTAGCGAGACCGAGCAAATCACGACTACTCATGTATGTGTGATCCTACGAGTACAGACGTGCTGACATATCAGTCATTTCTACGTAAATCTACCCGTTCAAGTGGTCGGCAGCTATTAGTCTTGTTTTTTAAGGTTTTTTCTTACGCCTGCTGCAGCGGGGTGGTAAGGTGGTTTCGGGCAACCCCTGGGAAATTTTGCATCTGAACGCAGATCGGGGGAACAGTGCAGTGGGGAACCACACAGGCTACAGCCCAAATCCTCATAGGTATATTCTCCCCCCGCGCTTCTACCTATCTCGTCTCACCCACAGCTCATCCTGTTTTGCTCACAGCGCAGAACGACATCATCAAGCGAAAACCCCAGAATCCCGGAAACCGATTCGCGGAATAGTTTTTCTTATCAATTATTACCTCTTCTTTACACCTTTCCCCCGCCTTTTTAATCTGGATGAAAACCTTACTATTTACTCCGTAGACGGCGGACGAACGTCAGCCCGGGCTTAGGAGTTACAAGCACGTTGATCGCCCGTTCGCTCTTAACTTACAAGGAATGCAAGCGCGAGAGGCCTAGCGGGGAAACCCTCAAAATCGTCAACGTCAGCAAAGACCATCCACACACCTCTCACACACCCTGAGCTTCACTTGAGCTTCACTCACGTCAGGGTCGCTCACACACCCGTCACTCATACTCACCCACACCACCTTACACTCATACTAAAAAAAAGCTCCTACTAGACAATGACACCGCCGGCATCATCGGCGACCGCAGCCCGACAACAATCCGACCAGAACACCGCCGCTCCTGGTAACAGCGGCACCAGCAAACAACAGCTCAGCTGCGCAAACTGCCGCCATCGCAAGATCAAATGCGATAAGCTACAGCCTCGGTGCAAGCAGTGCGAGCGCTCCGACCTCGACTGCGTCTTCCCCTCCCGGAAGCGGAACCGCAAGCCGCGCCAGGGGAGGCAGAACGAGCTGCTGAATCGCATCACCCGTCTGGAGAGCATCGTCAGCAAAGTCGACTCTGGTAACGTGGATGGAGTCGTCAGGGGTGGCGGTAGCGGGACCCCAACCGGCTCGGCGGGAGGAGCGGTGCCCCCTGCGGCCTTGCTCACGGCTGCCGTCTCATCGACGCCGCATTCCATATCGGCGGCGACGGGCCGAAGGGGTCTTGGTGGCGACTCGGTCCCGGGCATGAATGACGCGGAGCCGTCGCCGCCCGGAGCGGGGTGGGACTCCCAGCCTGCCCCGCCGACCAACTACATGAGCGCCGAGTTCTGGGAGAATCTGTGCCAAGAGGTCGAGGGCATGAGACAGGCCTTGGATCAGCCCTCCGACAGCGAAGGGTCCGACGATGAGGAGCCAGGAGGTCAGGGCCAGCAGGGCCAGCAGCATCAGCACAGCACGACGAGCCCCGAGTCATCCACCGCCAATAAGGGCCAGACGCCTCCCGCGCTGTCTGGGCTCATCTCCAGCTTCGTCACGGGCGGGGACGAGCCGCTGAGGCACCCGCCGCGGGATCACATCATGTACATGTGCGGCATCTTCTTCTCCAACGTCGATCCGGCGTTCAAGGTCATTCACCGGCCGACGGTCTCTGTCGAGCTGGAAGGGTTCGCGAACGCTGTGAATAAGCACATCGATGATGCGACGGAGGCCTTGTTCTTTTCCATGTACTATGGTGCCGTCACCAGCTTGACAAACGAGGCTTGTCTGAGGAACTTGGGGGAGGAGAGGAGCGTGCTCGCGCAGAGGTACCGGGAGGGCGTTGAGAGGGCGCTTCACAAGGCGGATTATCTCAACAGCACTGAGATTCGGACCCTTCAAGCGCTGACTTACTACGTGGTAAGTCTCTTCAGTCACGTTCATATCAAATCCGGTTCAAGATCTAACCATCTCACAGTGCTTCCTCCGCTCACACAACGCCAGCCGTGCCTCATGGGCCCTCATCCCCCTCGTCGTCCGCCTCGCCCAGGCCCTCCACCTTCACCGCGACGGCGTCAACCCCCCTCTCCCGCCCTTCGAGGCCGAGATGCGCCGCCGGCTGTGGTGGATGATTGTCGTCCTCGACATCCGCGCCGCCGAGGACCGCGGCACCGACGCCGCCATCCCGCGGCAGTCCTACAACACCCGCCTGCCTTTCAACCTCGACGACGACGACTTCGGCCCCGGGACGACGGATCCGCTCGAGGACAGGACGGGCCCGACCGAGATGACGTTTTGCCTGTGCACGAGCATGTCGTCGGGCATCTTTGGCAACCTGCGGCCGCGGCACCCGCAGCTTGCGCTCGACAACGACGGCACGCCGGAGCCGACGACGTCAGAGGATGAGATTATGGCGCACGCGCAGCGTCTCGAAGCGCTCTTTGGCACCGCGCCGGCCAAAACACCTGCATCGGACGGCGATGGCTCTGGTGGCGGTGGCGGCGGCGGCGACGACGAAGACCAGGACACCCGGCACCTACCCGCCAACCACGCCGCCGTGACGGTGCGCATCATCATCCTCAAAATGTGGTTATCTGCACAATATCCCTTCACACCGCGCGCCTCCACGGCGACGGCGAAGCCCCGCGTCGCGCGGGAGACGATGCTCCGCACGGCGGTGAACACGATCGAGCTGGTCGAGTATAGCTCCGCGACCTACCGCGAGCGGTTCGGGTGGTGGATCGACAGCTACGTGCAGTGGCACCCGCTCGCCGTCGCGCTGGCGGAGCTGTGCGTGCAGACGCGCGGGGAGCTGGTGGAGAGGGCGTGGCGCGTGGTGGATCGGAACTTCCACGGGATGAGGGAGCGGATCGCGGATACGAGGCGGGGCACGCTGTGGAGGCCGCTGAAGAAGCTTTTGAGACGGGCGAGGGCTGCGAGAGCGGAGGCTATGATGGGGGCGTTGAAGTTGGGTGATGGTGGGAGGGGGGCGCCTGTGACTGCTGCGGCGGCGGCGGCGACGGAGCAGAAGGGGGCTGCGAGGAGGACGGTGGAGGTGCCGCAGCATGAGGAAGAGGAGGAGGAGGAGGAGGATGACGATGAGGATGTTGATGATGATGGCGATGGAGACGTGGATGTCACGGGTGTTCAGGAGCCATCAGTTGCCGCGGCGGCGGCGGTGGGAGGCCACGGTGTGAGTATGGGAACATTACACCCAGCTTTCAGGACAGACCGTATCGGCGGTAACAACGCTGCCGCTGCTGCTTGGCAAGGAGGCGGCTCCATACTGCCTCCCACGAGTATGCCTTTCGCGACGACAAACACAGTCGGTTTGGGTGGTCCCACGCCGATGGCGGTTGACCCGTCGATAGCGGCGGCGGCCGGGATGCCCGCGACATCACTGCCTCCGTCAACGTCGGCGCCCATGAACCCGCCGTTCGGGCTGACGCCGGAGGACATGGCCATGTTTGGAGGAACGCCGCTGTTCAGTAACCCGCAGGACCTGATTGCGCATTTCGGGATCCAGATGGATGCCGGAGACTTTGGGTGGGATCCGAGTTCGTGGGACGAGTTTGTCGTTGATGCGAATATGGAGAGGTCACCTGGGGACGACGGGTGATTTCAGTTTGAGTGACTAAGGTAATCACAAGAGGAGGACGAGGAGGTGTATGGGATACCCAAATGAACTGACGCGCAAGTGTGGTGTATAATAAGGAAAAAGGGAAAGGAAGAAATGAAATGGTGATGCTGTACGATAGGGATGACGAATCACGCCCATCAATACTGGAGAATGGAAGAGGAATCTAGACTCTCAAATGAAATTCATTGTACTTGGGCTTGATTAAATGAGTGAATGATTCTCGACAACTTGATGACTCCTGTTCCAGACAAGCGGGCAGAGCTTCAAGATAAGGTATGTCGACTTCGAAGTAAGCATATGATGTAAGTGAACGGGGCTTGTTGCCGGGCCTTCACATCATGAGAGTGATATGTCACTGGACACTAGAACGTGAACAACTAATCACCACGAAATTATAGAGGTTACGTCATGCTCAGGTGGGTTGCATGTGCTTTCACATTTGGGAGCAGCTCGGAAAGAAAAAGTTAGATGCCAAGTGAGAGCACTCTACGTTACGAACAGTTGAAGACATGCAGGCATCACATCACTGGCAATCAGAAAAACTTTGACAACCGACGCAGGGTGAGTTGGCATTTGTCTACGTAGACGAAGCCGGACGTCTTGACATCCCTCTTCTGGCCGAGCAGATCTAAAGGTAAACCGCATCGTCTCATCAAGAAGTCGTAATTCACAGCTTCGTACTCAGGTATCATTCGTCCATCTATCAAAAGGGCGGTTTGAGTAAGGTTTCCCCTCCCTCCCCTGCTGCTTTTTTGGCCATGCTCGCGAAAAGATGATGTTTTGAATTGATTTCATTTCTTTTGGTGGCCCCCGCCTTCAGAGAGCAAATGCACGTGATAGTTCCATAGACCTAGTGAACACCTGCCAAGTAGTAGTAGCCCACCCCTCCATTTGTCGAAAACCAGAGAAACAACGCCGCACAACAGCCAACACTTTATGCGAAGGTGGTGGGACGCTTCGCGCTGAAGATCTTCTGGTTGTTGAGCTTGGAGACGCGGTGGGGGAGGGGGAAGCTGAGGCCCTTGGTGATGAGCTGCTTGATGTAAGGGCGCTTGACATCGTCGCCCTTCTCGAGCTCGACGACCTTGAGGATCTGTTGGAGACTTTGTTAGTGGGGGTTTCGGCTTTCCGGGCGAGATATTCGACGTGAGGGCACATACGTGGATGGACCTGAAGCGGGCACGGTGGCGGGCGGCCATGTCGGAGTAGAGAGCCTCGACGGCGTCGGTGCGGGACATCTCGCGGTACTCCTTGTACATGTTGTGGGTGCCGGAGCGGGAGTCGTAGCGGAGCCAGACACCGAAGTTCTTGACCTTGAGGGGGTGCTTCTCCTGGATCTGTAGCGTACAGAGTCAGTCTCTGCCTGCAGTGCTTCTGGGAAATCGAGTCTTCTCTGACGTACCTCCTTGACGCTGACGATCTCACCGGTGGCCTTCTTGACCTTCTTCAGGCCACGCAAGAAGTACCAGTAACGGGACTTCGCAACCGTGACATTGGGAGCGAAGATGGTCATGCGGTACAACGCGGGAGTCGGGTTGGACTCGGTGGGCAAGTGGCGCCCAATGACCTCGTATTCCGAAAGACGACCTATAGCAAAATAATCAGTTATGCGTCGTCCTGGGGCCACACAATCTCTGGATTCAAGGATGCGAATAGCTGTCATTTCGAGCTGCTGCGAATTTTCCGGTCGGTCGGGTTCGGACGGGAGGGCAGAATCGCGTTGCGTCGTGAGGTCATGCCAGGTCTTGCGCTCATTCCCCTCTTTCCTGTTCCTCCCAAACCAAGCCCTGACCCATTCGTCGTTTGGTAGTGTGCTGTAGTCTCGCTTGATATGCGAGCTGATGGCAGTCGGTGTTGATGAATCCATGAAGCAGGCGTGCTATTGCTGTCGTGCCATACTGCGACATCTTCGTGATGTCTCAAGTAACCTTGGAAAAGTTTGTTCGTCGCGGTCGGGGTTCGAAAAATTCGCAGCAAGCATTCGCATCCAAGATCCAGATCCAAGCGAGGAGAGAGGAATTGTGCTTACCCATCTTGAATAATTTGTTAGAAACTGAAGATCCCCCGCGAACTTGAGTAATTGGTGACTTACTTTGAAGAGCTGGCCGATGGTCGTCGATTATCCGATATCGTGGTGGTTGCTGCTGGGTCTGAAGCCGAATGGGAAAACAAAAAAGTTGGGTAAATGCAAAAAAGGGCGAGAACCCTATGTGTCAGCGCCACACTTTCCTAAGCGACCGGACCCCACCCTGTTGCGGCTGGTGGGGGTCCACCTCAAATCGCCCAGTTTTTCGAGAAGGTCTGTCAATGCATTCCTGCCTTGAATGTCAGGCGCAAAGCAGTCGGTGTCCATCAGAAAGGTCAGAGGGAGGAGCTGCCTTTGGCGAATCCCAAAGTCACTGGGTTCCAACCAATCACAGCGCAGACCGCCCCCGGTTGAGCAACAGCGTCACAAAGGCAACTACATTTGCTGGCTGATGTTAGACGGGGATCGTTGTCATCATAAGTCTGGCAGGCAGTTTACCTTTTGAATCCATTTTAGCAGGCTTTACCTGGCTGAATTTGCGTCAAGTTCCAGCAAGAGTCTTCAGGGCCTTCGCTCTTCAGCCCTTCGGCTCTTCCACCACCTAGCTCACTCACCCACCCTTCAACATCGACCAGGGCTCAAATAGACAGAATGGAGCCTCTGTTTGAAGAGTTCCGCAATGCCTACAAGACTCGGTCTGGGTACTCTCTTGCGCAGACACTTCAGCCATTCAGTCCAGTCAACAAGCCGGACAAGCTACGGTCCATCTATCTGAGCACTAATGTCCAAGAAGCCAAGAGTGACATCAAGTACATGCTCCTCGGTCGGGGCTCGGGATCTAAGAAATTCAAGCTCGATCATGAGGAGACTACGGGCTGGGTAGAAGTCTACACAGCGTACTGGAAAGCCATTGGCGAGATCCTCAAAGTAGAGGGCGACTCCGCTGCTGGAGGTAGGGTGAGCTCTCGCGCAATACGCTGCCCATCCCCTTTCTTCAGTTTCACCACTAACACCAGCAACAGTCTTCATCATGGACCAAGGTGTATGAGTCTTGGAAGGAATTCACCACCGCTCTCATCCGAGGCTACACTAATTATGGCTTCGAGGCGTGGACGATTCCGTGCCTCTACCTTGCTGGCAAGCATTTGCGACTCTTCGCCATCAGCTCAGACGAAGAGCGGAGCACCACCGATGCCACTGCTGACGCAATGGAGCTTGCTGACGACTACGATCCGGACTTGGAGAAGCAAAAGCAGCTGCGCGACTGCGAGCAGCAGCTCAAGCGTATCTTCACTCTGTGTCTGAGCGATAGGTATGTCGACAAACCCAAATGCTCTTGGCTAGTCCTAACTGTGTACAGAGCACCTCTCGAAGAATCAAGAAAGTGGGCTATTTACTACATCATCAACTTGCTCTTCAAGACCTACTTCAAACTCAATTCGGCAAGTCTGAGTCGGACAATCCTGAAGGCGTTGTCCACGAACCGTGGAGACATGCCGCCCTTGGAAGCATTCCCCAAGTCACAGCGGGTGACATTCAAGTATTACGAGGGCGTGCTCTTCTTCTTGGAGGAGAACTATGTTGAGGTACGATTACTGAGAGAAGTCCAGTTCTCAATTACGGATCTAACGAAATCCAGGCCGAAAAGCACCTCACAGAGGCATGGTCCCTGTGTCACAAGGATGCGAAGAGCAACCAAGAGTAAGTACTCTCGACACATCCCAAGTCATCATCCCCAACCACTAACAACCATCACAGGAGAATTCTCACCTATCTAATCCCATGCCATCTCCTCACCACACATACCCTGCCCAGCAGCAAACTCCTTGAGCCCTACCCGCGGCTGCAAAAACTCTTTCTCCCACTGTCGCAGTGCATCCGCAAAGGCGACTTGCGCAACTTTGACCTAGCTCTACAAAAAGGCGAAGAGGAGTTCGTCCGCCGCAGAATCTACCTTACGTTGGAGCGCGGTCGCGATATTGCCCTGCGCAACCTATTACGCAAAGTCTTTGTCGCCGGTGGCTTCGAAGAGGCGAAGGAAGCCGGCACCGCTCCCGTTCGTCGGACCAGAGTCCCAGTCGCCGAGTTCACAGCTGCTATCAGCCTTGGTAGCCAGGAGACTGTTGACCCAGACGAGGTTGAGTGCCTGCTGGCAAACATGATTTACAAGGTACGTGGCAGCTTTTCTTTTGTCGTGCGTTTGGGGTTGCCTAGTAGGCAACATCATCACGGGACCGACCTTGCGTGCTCAAGGGAATCCGGTGTGTGGCGGCTGCCACAAAAGCTCGCTACTCAGGCAGAATTCCATAGTAACCCCTCATTCACAAGTACATGACTAATCATCCAATTATCTGCAGAACCTCATGAAGGGCTACATCGCCCGCGAGCGCGGCATCGTCGTCCTCTCCAAGAACGGGGCGTTCCCCGGAACAGGGGTTTAGACGGGGATGGTGGGGTGGGGACTCCGACCGCATGAGACTTTCGACCGGCCCAAAGATGACTTGAGATAATACAGCCTTGGTACCACACCATCGTGCGCACAAAAGCAGCGAGAAGATATCTGACCCAATAGGCATCGGCGACACGGCATCGCTGAACTTAACGGCCTCGTATAAGGTGCGAGGAAACCTGGCAGCATGCATTGGTGCGAGGAAGATGGATGCATGAGTATCTTAGTGATACCGGGCAATTAAAAAAGCAAAGTCTATCTCGACGCCGTCTGTTGGGATCAATCAGTAGACGCAGATCAATACATTGACACTCAGGAGATTGCTTCTATTGTTCCAATGCTTAGCTACATAATCATAGTAAAAGATCGAAAACCACAAAAGAGTTCACCCCCCCCGGTGCTGGACTGGGGGCTACATCTCTTGGTGCTCATGCTGGGGAATTTTATGGTGCTCATTCCGGGATTCGAACTCGGGTAACTCGTATGCGCTGAGCCTATCGTCGAGTAGGCTGGTTGGCGTATATGATTGATGTCGACCATTAACCAATTCCACCACCCACGCCACAGTTTGACCTGACCCCCCGACCTAGGGGGGCGCCTGCTGTGCTGGTGACGAGAATGGAGTTGATGGGGTCTATATGGACTTCTTTTCTGTGTGTAGTCCACTCGGGACCCGGATGGATGGGAATGATAAGTTATCAGATGAAGGTTTGGGACTGGGAAGGTAAGGTAGGCAGGTGCGATGGGGATGGACTTGCGGCTTCCCACCTCAAGCAAGCATGCTTGGCCTAGTGGCCGTTTGGAGACGATACCTACCTAAGTAAGGTACTATGAGACTGGTCTTCAGTGAATGAAATAAAGGAAATTCCATCCTTCGCACTTTGGAAACAACATCCACTGTTTGATGCATATGGAAAGGTTTTCCGATTTCACCGGCCATCTATCTGTCTCATACCTACCTTATGTACGTGTGACACCACGTTGAGCTTGTAATTCACCGAAAGTCTATCACGCATGGGCGGATAGAAGTATTTACAAAATTGCAATCACACCAGTTACCTGCGGCCACGCACCAACAGTCAAACAACATCACTCAGTATGTAGAACACAACTACCAGACGGAGCATCTGCAGCTCCACGCACACCTCTGGCTCACATCCATCTCCACCTCCAGTCCTCCCTTTGGAGAAAAGTAACCTCATATGGCGACTCAAGCACGACACGGGCAGGAAAGACGGAACAATGACTAACGTCTCACAAACACACCCACCAGTACGAGCAGCCTACCAAAGTAAGCAAAGAGGGGGTCCCTGGTGGTTGACTTTAGTTTAAGTGCTTGCATCAGTAGCGTGATAAGGTAATTCAGGAGAAGCAAAAAAGACAAAAGCCGGGGTCTGAAAGTATGTGTGTTGTGTTCCCGGAGAGTGGTGGGGTTGAGTTGGGCTGTTGTGCCGTGCGTGAATCGGCGATAGTGTTGCTAAGAGTCAGCCTCGGTGACACTACCAATATGACTCACAGCTCGAAGAGGGGCAAAGTATCCGAGAACACGGCCGCTACGCTAGGCGAGCCTGGTCGCCGCGGCGGGCGGACCAGGAACCGGGACACTCTACCGGGGGGCGATGGATGGGGTTGGCATAGGCAGGGATAGTTCGCCCCGGATCGGGGCCTGTGAATTCGGGTGCCTTGGGCATTCACGAGTATTCACGTAGGACTTTTGCTCATGGTCGAAAACTTCGGTAGGTCGTGTTGGTTATGTTTCAGAATACAGGAGGAAGTTGGAGATACCAGAAGATGGCCATCAAATCACTCGTTGGATTTTGTGAATATCGCAACGACGGGATATCTTCATTTCCATCGGGAAAAAGGCTCGAGATTCACAGCATCAACTCCTGTAGATTTGCAGAAACTAGAAAGCGAGTGTGAAGAATGATAATTTTACAGTTAATGATGTCGATCTCTTTCGCAGAAGACGCAATCTGTCCCAAATTTCTTTCGTCTCTCGTCTCGTTCTTTTCGCTCTGTTACACCCAGAGCATCCGGGTCTCGTATTTCTCAGTCGCCTCTATACGGAAGGCGAACAAGAGACAGGTTTTCCTGCCTCGCAAGAAACCGTCTCTCGAGATTGTCCGCCTCTCATGGGGTTCTCGTCTCGCCAAAAGTAAGAGATAAATGTACAAGGGTTTCTCGTGAGAAGTCAAGAAGTCGAGCAAGAGATGCCAGGAAAATTTGCAGAAATAATACAAAATGTTGTACCCAAACGCCGTGACCATCCCTATCCAGTGGGATGGGTTTTCAAACGCCCTGATGTTTATGGTATTTTGCGGGTTTTGCGAGTCCAGCAGGCTTCAAATCGCCCGTTTCAGCGACAATCAACGGTGAAACAAAGTAAAAA